CCGCCATAGTCATCGGGCGAGAAAGGAATGATTAGGGGTTTGTCCTAGGGTGGTAACCGTGGACAGCAGTGGTGTTTGAGTGCCGATGCTCTCTGCGCTGCGTAACGTTATTTCTCGCCGTCGTCGCGTCTTTTGGAAGGTCTGCGCACGTAAAGTCTAGTCACGTGGCCTTCTACTTCGCCATTTCTTTCTGCGGGCCGCGCGCGTTTTGTATTGGGTTTTCCACGAGAAATCGAAGGCCCACCAAGGCAAATGACCTGCAAGCACGGAGCCGAATTTGGCGGGGAAAATGAGGACCCGCCGGTTTTTGGCGGACCGAAAACCGGGTTTTTGGTACGCTCGGACCTGTGATACCACCCAATTATTCACTCAACAATAGCACTCTATCTCGACGGGCCTAAGCTGGGTAACCCTCTAAGACTATGCTATGAAGGGTGGCAATAGGCCAAAAATGGGCTATGGCTCTGTGTTTTAAAATAACACGAGGCTTGAAGTTCCCTTCCCCTGTCCTCTCGAAGTTCACCTCCAATGCTCAGAGCTTTTGGAGTGTTGTGCAGCTTGAGATAGGTTCTTTCTTGACATGGAGAAGGGATATGCGGGCGGTTGCCACACATAGACTTGACTTTTGACTTGGGAAGTGGGTGAAGTGCGAGGCTTTGAGGCCGAGAGCGAGGGTAATTGTCCGCTGGTGGTGTGACGGGCACCACGGCAAGGTCTGGTCAGCCTGCACATACATATGATATTGCACGAAGAGAGCAAGACTACCTATCTAGCGTGTGGGCATGCGACCATGTCTTATGCAGATGCTGGCCCAGTGCAGGTTCGGTGCAGAGGTCCGGGACATGGCATATACATGACGTACGCATACGTGGCCTGCGTGGCCAGATCCATTGCTCGGATCCGTGGCCCGGATACAGGAACAGGAATCCTGTGACAGGTGGGGAGGTACCTCATTCTTGAAGTGTCGGGCCAAATATGACTGGTGACGATAGGGTATTCATGAAGGGGACTTTGAACGTGTTCCCTCCGTCTAGATCGGACTTGTAAATCAACCGAGGTTGACCGGCGGATGAGGAGGAGATAGAACGACATGTCGCTGACGGGCTCTGATACCGGAAGGTATCGCGCAGGGTTAGAGCTAGGTGTTATACCCCACCATTGGTGGGGTGGTTGTTTGTATGTAGATAAGATAACGCTGCCCCACTCTGGATCGTGGGATATCTCCCACCACTGCAGTTGCTGCTTGCAACTACCAGAGGACGACATCCTGACTTTTCCCCGAATACATGGCATTTGCCCTCTTTTCCCAGCATACGGCTCCTTTCCCGTATCAGGCTCCAGTCTTGTTCTCGGTAATGCCTCAGGCACTTGTGCGAGTGTAGGTCCTGTCTGAGACCTTTTTCTCGCTTATCCTGTGATTTCAGGTAAAGGTTTGCGATGTGCTAGCGCGATAGACGTGCTGGAGCTACGTTAACCCGAGTCTGACTGGATCGCTGAATCGGAGCGGACGGAGGTGTCCGAAGGTCCCTGCCTATCTGTCCTCCTGCACTCAGGCTCATACGACACTTTGTTAGGCCTGCCCTCCAACCATGCGAGGCACAGCTGGCCCGAGAGCATGCCGCCCCTATTACTGATCTTACCGCTATCCCATAAAGCATGTTGAAGACCTGCCTATACCGGTCAGCTATACCTTTGTAACGGGCAGGGCCCGGTGTGAGCCTCGGCGACTCTCGGCCAAAACCAAGACCCCTGATGAGGCTATTCCCACTCGCCCCACAGCACACCAAACCTTCTAGCAACGCGCTCAGACCAGCGCGCCTACGAGGATAAGTATGCTCTCGAGCTACCAGAGTCTCACATCTCTTCTTTCCTTCTCCAAGTTCAGTGTACTCGTAGAGTCGTCATCAGCTAGTTGCAATATACTACCTGAGACCGTTACACCTTAGGTCCAACCGTCTAGTAACCTAGTTGGGGTAGGTGTCTGGGAGGGACACTGCGAGCCAATGTATATTTTTTGAAGTGATATAGCTACTACCTAGTGTGACGAACCTCTCAAGCCCTAGTGTCACGGGTGGGCGCAACTGACCACTGCGTAACACCCTCAAAAGAGGGACCGTGGTTCGAACTGTCCAGTCGAACCAGGAGTTGCGCACATGAACCTCACACTGTCACTACCCGTGACACCCAGCTTGTGAAAGGGACTCCTGAAGGTTATAACTTGACAACGGGGTGAGGTTCGGTGAAGCCAAATGGTTCACAACAAGCAATGTCGGAAGTTATTGACAATCTTGCACTTGAATTGCTTACTGGAGGAATCCCATCGGAGTCCTCCAGAACGAGTGACTATATACTACCGATTCCTACGTGCTCAATGTCCTCAATTTTCTGATCGCTCTAAGCTAGGTGCTCATCGTGCTATGCCTTCTGATCTTCCCAGGTATCATGCATACTGCATGTCACGGGATTCCCCGTTCCTGTTCTCATGGTTTATGTCATATGCTTGCGGTTATGCATACGTCATGGGGTCTGATCATACGTCTATGGTCATGCTTACGCATAGGCCTCTGCTCCAGTACTTAAGGTCTGGTTGCACGCCCATTCCTGTCATCTACCTCTTGCTCTCGTTGTAGCAATATCGATCTTGTATGTGAGAGCTGGACTAGACCTTGGGTGGTGCCCGTCACACTGCAGATTACTTAGAGGTCTTGGCGTTTTAGCACTTCAACGATCCACCGACTGGTCTGGCTGTTATGAATGATTGGTCCAGGGATCCCCTGCGCCCCGCAGAGCTAACAGCCACGATTCTACGGCGACACGCTTTATGCGAGCTTTCTTACAACAGTGATTTTTTCGAGTGCCCGCGAGCAGTCCAGAATTCGTCAGCTTGAGAGTTCTGTTCTCCTCCTCCAAGTTCCCTGAGTGCCTCCCAAACCTTATGTAACAGCTGTGTATTACCCCTGACCAGGGTATGGCACCGGCAACCCAGTTTCCAAGTTTCAAGTGCCATCACTTCCAACAAGGTCACCGGGATCCCGATCACCAGGATCACCGCCAAGGAGGTGATCGCTGTGATCTCAGGTACAGAGGTACCTGAAGGAGGAAGCTGTACATAAACTATGTTCCTTAGGCTTACGGGCATCACAGTAGCTTCCTCAGTAAACAATTCAGATGCAAGATTGTCAGTACCTTTGGAAATTGCTTGTTGTGAATCTTTTGGCTTCACCGAACCTCATCCCGTTGTCAAGTCATAACTTTAATAGTCCCTTTCAGTGGTTAGGGGACCGAAATTCGTCACATTTAATTGAAAAACCTCGCTAAATCCTGCCTCCCGTAAGCTTTTCTCCTAGAATCCGACATCGGCCAACATATGTACTCTGCTATTTGCAAAGGCCGCCATCTCGCATTGAGCCAATTAGCCAGTGCTATATAATATACCTATTCTTTATAAGCTAGAAGCGCTGCACGTCAACCTGATATTCAGCTCAGCGAAGACCGTACGCGACATGGCACCGATGTCAGACATACGGCCAGCCGCATGCAAAATAACTGGCGTCCCGGAGCTGGGAGGGCGATCATGTACTGCGTGCCCGACGTCGAGACCAGCGCAGGATTCCACGAGCAAGCTCCTCCGTGCCGTCGCTCTGCGCTACTTGTGGCGCAACGTCAACGTGACGTACATGCAGCGCGGCTCGGCAGCGTCGGGAGAGCTGCCGTTCTATCGACAGTACGCGGGTGAGTTGTATATCACCGTTGCATACCGATGTTTGGCACATTACCCTACCATACACCCTCCCTACCTTCTACGACTCTGATTGGTACCTCTACAAACCATATACCTACCTTTAGAAACCATATACGTTACCTTCTTTGTCTCATCGTGGCAGCTCTGGGGGCAAGGAGTTCTTGGAGTGTCTACCCGCGCTTGAACCATCTGGCGTCCCTCAATGTTGGCTTCCAGAACGAGTGGGCACGTGGCAGCGACACCGATCGGTGTCGACACGTCCTCCAGGTAGACGCAGCATTCGGCAGCATTCTGGTACCAGCGAAACATTGAGTTGATGGCCCCCAAAAGCTTCGAATTTGTTGGACCTGTCGATGCAGGAAGATCCACCCAAAAGAAACGGAACCCATTCTGGGCGGTTTGGTTCCTGTAAACATCAATCTTCTTGTAATCCTCACGATTCTTTGTTGTGCCGTCATCAAAGCCTCTGAAGGTAACCCCTCCCTCACCCCAGGTATGAGATAGTATCACTTCCGGGGTGGTGTCGGTGGGTCAACGTATGTTCACGAGACGGAACTCCCGGACAGGGCCGGTCAAGAAGACGTATTGGTAGAACGGCAGTCATCTGCCTTGGGTACTGTTGTCTAATTTTGCTTGGAAGGATAGAAATGGGAACTGAACTTTATCTCGGTACGATATCCGACAATCTAGCCATTAGCATATTACAATGCCCGAATGATGAACGCAGTTGGCGGGGTATGTCGCGGAGACGAATGGGTTGATTACGGATCAGAACTGAGCTTGAATGTGTGGCGTAGCGGCCTTTTCCTTGGCTACTGGGGTCGACATTGGCCGCCCGTCCACCTCTTTAATTGTACCACTGCCCCAGAAAGAGTCGGATACCTAGCCTTGACCTTATCCTCCGCCCGCAGTCGTTAAGTAACCGGATGACAGAACAAGCGGATCATGATACCGCCGAGACACTCAAACTTTCCAACTCAGTAACCTCAGAGCTTTAGAGCCTTGTACGTCTCCTCCAGGGCCTTGAACCCAGTGACGCCCAGATCCTCCTTGGTAAGCACCTTCTGCCCACTGGGCTCCGTCCAGCTCTTCTCGCGGAACTCCAGGTCGTCCCAGAACTCCATCATGCCGGCCATCTCCTCGGCCCAGACTGGCCAAATCTCCCTGAACGCCTCGCCGCTCACACGCACAAACTGCGCCTTCTTGCCCTGAGCCTGGGCCCACGCATGCAGCAGCTCGCCGGCCTGGCGGGTCTCCGTCGCGGCCAGCACAATATTGCCGTTGGCCGTCTTGTCGCGCTGTTCGACTACGGCCTTGGCGAAAAGTCCGATGTTGGCCGTCACGTCGCCGATGGTAATGATGGGCGTCTCTGGGGCGTAGCTGCCGAACTGGAGGTACTTGTCCGCCGTTGGAATGTAGTAGGGCGTGAACATGGGGAAGACGAGGTTGGTCGCGTAGAAGGCGACCCATAAGAAGGTGGTTTTGGCGAGCAGAGCGGGCTCCTTCTCGCGGATGTAGGCGTCGATGCGGTTCTTGCCTTCGAAGTGCGGGACCAGGTACTTGCCGCCCGAGATGGCCTTGATGTTGGGCAGGGTGCTCCAGATGTAGTGCTCGAGGGTAGGGGTCGCGGCGGCCGCCTTGGCCATGTTGATGCCCTGCTGTTCTTCAATTTCCATGGCCTTGGTCGGCGACTGGTGGGCGGCAAAGGGCTCAAAGAAGTTGGTCACGCCGAAGATTATGTGGGAGCCGGCGAAGGCGGCCTTGAGTCTCTCGAGGTCGTTGAGGTCGGCGGAGACAACCTCAGCGCCGTGAGCGGCGAGCCCCTTGGCGGCCTGGCTGGAGGGGTTCCGGGTGATGGCACGGACCGTGTAGGCCGGGTTGTTGAGGAACGCGTCGACGACACCCTTTCCCTGAGCACCGGTGGCTCCGATGACTGTAATGATCTTGGCCATTGGGTTTGGTCTTGTGTTCGAATGGAGAGCTTCCAGGTAAGCGGTTGCTCGAGTTCTGGTCGCAGGCTTCTTTGATCGGTGATGTCCCCCTGATATCTAACCAACGTATGAAAAAGATCGGTCCCTGTCAGAAGCCAGTATGCGCAGGGCATTGAGAGCCTCGAGCTTGCTCGCGAGCTACGGGTTGGGCCTTCAGGCATTCAGGCCCAACCAACGGGGCAGCGCGAGCAATGCTGCATGTGGCTGAGGGGCAGCTGAGGGGTTAAGGAGCGGGGTTCAGGGCGCAGATGAGCGGTGCAAGAAAGGCCCAAGAGAATGATGAGGTTGCTTAAATAGAGAAGTTCCGAGTTCAATGTGATCACTCCGGCCCCTACCTCCTTGCTGTTTGCCTGTGCCCCATCATCACAACACTACAGCCTACAGGACCCTGAGTTCTTACATGGACCGTAGAGAAATCCTCTACGTGTGCATTTTCTAGCTTGCACACAGCTCACCGGGCTTCAGAAACTGGACCGTTTTATTACTAAACGACTTGACAAATTCTTTCACCCCCTTTGGAATAATTCGCTTTGCTTTGACACACAGGTAATCATGTCATTGATTGCCGGAGAGTTTGTAGTACTGTACTTAGCCCAGTGCAGCGGCTATGAGTTTGTCAACCGTTCCCGGCAGAGAAGGAACAGGGGGGAAGGAAGGGAACTCCTCACAGACCCCCTCACGGGTCCGGCTCCCACCAGACCCCGGTCTGGTGGGAGCCGGACCCGTGAGGGGGTCTGTGAGGAGTTCGGCTCCCACTAGAGAGACGGGTCCGTGTCGCTTAGTCATCGCATAGCAACTATATTAGTCACTACAAAAATGCATCTAACGCGGCCACCTCCCCACGCCCGCCGACATCACATTTGTATATGCACTTTCTCTCAAGTCTACAGGCTCTTATGCATATATATATTAGACGTTCGTCGAGGCGAGCATCTTCTTTTCGACTACTTCTATTCGCACTGGCATCTAAAGCGCGAAGGGGCTCCGCAGCTACTCCTTCAGCCTCGCGAGCGCACTAAGCCAATTCGAACTCGGAGCTCACTTCTAAGGTTGAGGACGAATGCTCTCTTCGGTGGGTCATCGGCAGGTGGCCTGTGCGCGCCCTCTTATCTTTCTCGCGTCGCAGACGCGCATCCTGTATACTCTCCCTCTTTTTTTCACTTAGCTTTGATTAGCAGAATTGAGTCGGCATTTGCAGAGCCCAGTGCCTGGCATTGATGCCACTTGTATCTCACAGCTGTGCTGTGTGGTTTAAGTAGTGGTTAAATATAACGCTTCCTACTGATGGGTACCCTTTATTATATAAGTCTAGAGGTTTGATGTAGTAAAGCATTTGAATAATGAGCATCGAGGGCGTAAATGTAGTAAGTACGCTAGTACTAAAGTAGTTATGTCGTATCGACTTCGTATGCACCCCCACTTCTTTCTTCCGCTCGCTTGCTGAGGCTTGCGAGAGTCCCGGATCAATTTCATCCTCCCACATCATTGACGAGACAAGGATCTGAAAAATGCCCAGTGTCCCAACAACAAAAGATGTTGTGCCAGGGGCGCTAGTCAACATCGTTCTCAAAGCCGACCAGCCAACGGGCCGCACAGTCCAAGGCGCCGTGTTGCAGCTGTTGACCCGAGGCAATCATCCTCGCGGCATAAAGGTGCGGCTGACAGATGGCAGGGTGGGCCGAGTCCAGAGCATGGCGGGACCCACTGAGCCGACGCCTGAGGGTTCTCAGGGCCAATCCGTCAGCACCGAGAGGACTGCCGGTGTTGGACAGGGAGATGCCGCAACGGTGGGCGAAAGGAGACGACACCGTGGTGGCTGGATGCAGCGAGACGCACGCGAAGAGCAACCCCCATCGACGCAGGCCATCGGCTTAGATGCTTACATCAAGCCGGCCAAGAAGCGCGGAAAGGGAAAGAATGCAGGGAACGCGACGACAGGGGCGCCAAGTGATGCGGCGGATGACGCAGGCTCCATGCTGAGACATTCTCAAACGTCTCAGCCCAACCAGCCGCCTGAGCTCGAGGCGTCAACCTGTCCCGTCTGTGGCGATTTCAGAGGCGACGCCGCAGCCTTGACGCACCACGTGCAATCTCACTTTGACGACTAGACGACATTTGGCATCAGTTCAGAGTGAAGGGGACGCGGAACGGGAGGTACTTCACACCAAGGCAGTTTCACATGACACACACACTGAAGGACTTCCAGGATCAAGACCCAGGTGTCAAGCAGGAGCTCCACCATACACATCAGTGACACCAAGTCTACCGAACCTTCACCGACAGCCCCCCACCTAAAGAGTCAAACGCCCTGCCTATGACATGTTCTCCTTCCCCGCGCATACGATCTTCCCTCAGCATTTGCTTGAATCCGACTTCGTACTTAGCTTCGTCTCCCTTTTTCATATCCTCAGAACGCCCTGGCAATACTCATCTATCCACGGACCTCGAACTCGGCAACTTCCCGGCGACTCCCGGCGGCCCCAGCCCTGAGGATGCCCGGAAATGTGACGCTTTAACGTTCAGATAGCAGAGGATATACAGGACGAGGTTGCCCACGTCCAAATTCTCAAGTCTGGCGAGGCGGATTGGTTTGGGCGACGGAGTTGGGGTTGACTACAAGCGTCACTTTTGTTAAAATGTTGAGCCGGGAGGCGAGAAGGGGCGGTGGGTATGGGAAAGACGGACAAAGGGAGAGTAATGTGGAAGAGACGGCTGTCTTCAAAATGAAGACGGACACTGGGAAACGACGAGTATGACAATCAGGAAGACGACCGGGAAGAAGACTAGGAGGAAGACCAGGGACAGCGCCGAAAGAAGTGAGACCAACCCAACCGGACTAGATCGACGAGGTCCACGGCAAAGGCGGAGACTACTTGCATCTCCCCAGCCCCGACATTTGTTGGAGTTGTCTTGCTGGCAAAACAGGGATGTCGTACGCACCATCCATTGCTCCCATCACTAATGCCCGCCTTGACAAAGTCAAGCACCTCGGCCATGTCTTGACGTACGATGACCGCAGAATGCGTCAAGCCGAAATTGTCGAGGTCGCAAACCAAAATTACATCGACGGGATAACGCGGCCTCTGTCCGTAGAGTCTTGTTGGTGCAGGGCGACTTCGGGGTATTCTTGGTCCAGCTTGCCGTTGAGGCACAGACATGCGCCTTACGGTCACGCCGTTGTTTTCCTTGACTCGTCCATTTGTTCGTCGGGGTTGGAAGCCAACAGATGCAGCATAGATGTGGGCCTTCTTGACTCTTTATCGCGCTGCCGGTATGTCATCAGAATCGATGTTGGCGTCGCCCGAGGCCAGCGCCTACTCCTCGCTTCACAGTCCAGCATCCTTCTTCTGCCCTGTTGGCAAGCTACGCGGTGGTCCTGGGGCCCTATGGAGGTGTTTGTGCCATTCAACTTAACGACCTCTCTTGTTCGGATGTGGTCCTACCGGTCACATAACCTGTCCGGTAGCCTGGTGAGCCTTATGACCACCCCGCGCCCAGTGGTCGGAGGATGGGAACTGAGGCGGCCGTGGCGCACACAGCGGATTCTTAGCGTCAAAGTCAGCAATGCGACAGAACACCATTGCGGAACGGTTCGCGCTCACTGGAATCATGGCCGTTGACCCGCGAGATTGTTGCTACCTTAGGTGCGGCTGTCGCCACAGCGCTGACAGGAGCGTGATCCTTACTCGAGGACTGCCACAACCTTGGCCCGCCAACCTCGAGCACTCACAGTATGCCCATGTTCATTGCTACCCCTACTCCAGTCTACTCCCTTTTGCTCATCTCTAGGTTCAACACATTTCCATGCAGCACAGCGAGGCTAACGTCAATCGTGGCCAAGTATCCTATGCCATGAACATCCCAAGGTCAGCTCCGCCTCCTCCTACGGCTCCACACGCGACGACTTCTTGCTGCAAGAAAACACACTGTACCTCATCGATCCATCAATAGCGACGTATCTCCCAGGCAGCTTGAAAGGACCGCACCCAACCCAGACAAGAAGCAGTGTGGCTTAGAACATCTTGGGACAAGGGTAGATCAGGGTCTGGACGTCATCCATTCTCGTCCCTCGATCTTCAACATCCCCAAATCCTGTCCCGAGTTGCGAGTTTTTCTGGAGGATTGTTCATATTAAATTACTCCGAATCGAGATTCAAGTAGGCCTGTTACTTCTGAAATCAATCCGCGCGCAAAGCTCCGGCCAGTATTCCCGTCACACTGCCGCCGACTACGTCGCCATCCACTCCAGGCACTTTCGTTTCCATCTTTTCAGAATCCTCTTTCATACTCTGGCTGGGAGAGGGACCCTTCCTTCAGGGGCAGCCTAAGAGCTCAGAAACGCTAGAGCGTGCTGCACAAAGTACGAGGCATACTGGAAGATGGCGCCATGCGAGCTGTTGGGATAAATGAGCAGCTCTGCATTCGGGAGCTGCTGTTGCATGGTCCAGCTGTTGACGGTAGGGACCATGTAGTCGTCCTTGGGACTCTGTCAGTCGCCTTCACTTCCACAAGGAACGATCACAGACGCAAACTTGAAGACTCACATGTCCATTCACCACCAACACCGGAATATTCAGTCCCTTCAACCGCTCAAACGAGCCCTCCGCTCCCTGAGACCCTTCCGGCGTCATCCAAGTTCCCAGCTGCTGCGACTGCGCCTTGACACCCACCGCGCCATCGGCATAGCTCTGGCTCAACCACGTAGCCGGCTCCTCGCCCGACGTCGCAACAGACCGCTCATGGATCCGCGCCCACCACTGTTCGGCCGCAGCAACCCCCTCCGCGTTGGCCAGAAAGAACAGCCTCTTAAACGTCTCAATCGTCACCTCTTTAGCACCCGCCACCTCAAAGACATCCGCATTTGGCGATCTGCGCACACCCTCTCCCATACTGGGCGTCGTCCCCGCCAGAATCAGCTTCCGCACTTTGAGCAGAGCAGGGTCGGCGTTCAGCGCTACAAGCTGCGCGACCGTCCCGCCGAGACTGAAACCGAGGATATCAACCTCGCGCTCGCCGATAAGGGACAGGAAGGTGAGGATGTCGTCGGCCGACTGCCGCACGCTGCTCGCCACGGTTCCCGTGCTGAGGCCGACGCCCGCGTAGTCGACTAGGATGATGCGCCGGTGCTGGGCGAGCGTGTTGATGAGCTGCGGGTCATACTTGTCCATGACGCCGCGGAAATGGGTCAGAATCAGGAGGGGCGTGCCTGGGTGGGTGCCGAGCCGGCGGTAAGCGAAGTATGTGCCGGAGGGGGCAGTGGCGTGGAGAGTTCTGGCGGTTTGGTGAGTCGACATCTTTGGTATCTGGTCTGTGGGTATGCAGTTTTGACGGTGGATGATTCTGGGAGAGCGTTATTCGCTGAGGTTGAGATGTCTACCTAGTGTTTGGGGCAGGTGATGGAAGAGTACTTGATAGTGTTGAATGGCATAACTGCTTTTTAAAGCACATCCTTTATCTGCCATCTTGAAACTGCAACATGTGTCCTCTGCTTGCGTCAGTTTACTCATCCTCGGACTCGCTGCTTTGATGTCCCACGGAAGAATTTTGCCCGGTCTAGAGCTTCGATTACTGATCTTCATCCGCACCAGGATTACATATCCTTGGGCCAGAGTGCAAGCGACCATGATTTCAAAGTTTGAAGCTGATGAGAAAAGCGGTCGCCTTGGCAAAGGAGTTGGCTCGCAACTGTCCTTGCGCTCCCCTTGGTAACATTAAACAAGAGCGGACAGATTAGTCTAGCAGCTGGAGCATAACTTCATCGGCAGGGCTGGACGAGACTCGCTCGAATTGGAGGAGAACCGTGGTTTCACAAGAAGCAAACGCTATTGTGGCCATGGTAAGGCTAAGCGAGGGTGAAATGGTTTGAGGGAAGAGATATGCTGAGGATGACTTCTACTATGGGATAGTACTAGTATGTTTGCTCCAGACAACATAACCCCCTCACCTCGCATCCCCAACTCCCTCCCCCTCCACCCCATCCAAAGACATCACCTTCTGCATCTCTTCTAGCATACGCCCCCACTGATACTCCTCCGCCCCATACACCCTCTGCCGCCTTAACAACACCAACCCCTCCCCACCGCCCAACGCCTCCGCGCCCCGCTCCAGCACCCCTCTCCCATCCTCTGTCCACACTTCCAACCCACCAGGAGAACACCCAAACAGCGTCTGCCTCCTCCTCACCCTCCACATCCCCCGCCCTTCATCATCCCTCATTGGCGCCCGCCGATCCGCATAATCCGAGCTCAGCACCGGCACGACATCCTCAATCATCTGCAGACCTTCCTCTGGGACTACCCCGTCCTTGACAACAGTGATCTCGTCGGCCCGCGGCAGTTCTTCTTTGTTGTCGCGGGACGTGGCCCGGGCGGCAGAAGCAGCAGCCTCAACGCCGTCGACGGGGGGATTAAACGGCTCGATCACCCAGGCGCGTTCAAAGTGTCCCGGGAGATGTGCCAAGCAGGCGGGCACGGCAATGTAGGACCTGTTGCTGGCGGCCGGTGTGAGGGCGGCGGTGCCTAGGGCTAAGGAGAGCGGGAGGCGACGCGGGTTGGGGGTGAAGAGGAGGAGGCGGGGGTCGAGGAGGGTTGTGAGGGCGCGGTTGAGGGTTTCGAGCTGTTCTGGAGTAACGACAGGGTGAGTTGATTGTCTTGGCTGTGACTCGGATGTGTTATTGTTGTCGGTGTTGGATGGAGGGGGAGGGGTGGAGTTAAACAGTGCGAGAAGAGAGTGCACAGCCGGGATGAGACTGGGGTGGGTTTGGTCGCCGAGCGGTTCGAACATCCAAGCTGATGTGCTCGTCGTCTGAAGCATTGTTGAGGGGAAAGCGAGGAGCCAGTCGAGGCCGTTGTCCAGCGCGAGGGAGAGGTAGAGGTGCCGGAGGTTTTGGAGTGGACGGGAGGTCGGCCTGATGCTAAGCATGGCGTCGACACCAGTGCGGATGGTGGATTGAGTGGTGTCGGAGAAGGCGGAGAAGAGCTCGTCGGCGATGGCGTCCAGGTTGTGCTCGGCGATGAGGCGCGTGGCTTTGGCTTGGGATTCTGGGGAGGCTGGCTTGGGAAGGGATTCAAAGACGAGGAGATCCAGCTCAATGTACTCTGGAGTGACGGCTGTGATGGACCCAGGGAGCGGGTTTTCGAACTGGTCATCGACCAGCGGCTGATTCGGATGGATTGCCCATGAGAGGATATCTTGTCCGAGTGAGGGAATTCGGAGTCTTGGGCCAGCCGCGATTAGGGGAACAAGATCGTTGGCGGCGAGTACCAGCAGCGTGAACAACCAGATGACCTCTTCCACATGGCGGACATCACCACCGTCGAAATAGAGCGGGATGCCAGCAGTATTGAGGGCGATGGAAATGAGGTCCCCTTTCTTCAGGATGCCAAACGAGAGTACGCTGATAAGGTGCTGCATGGCCGAAACGGTGGCGCGGCCGTCGGGCATGAGCATCTGGATGCGCCATGTGAGCTGTTGCAGTGTCTTCAGTCCAGGACCCGGCATATGGTTCATCCGCCGCTCGTAAAGAAGTTGTTCTAGTGGCTCCAGGTTGGTAAGGTAGAAGCCCAAGTAGTGGATGAATCGGAACTCAAATGAGAGGACCCGATTATCCGCCCCAAAGCACAAGAAGAGGGGGTTGTTGGTCTTGAGATGTTTGGCCATGCGAGACTCGTGGGCGCACCATCCTCGCTGAAACCACCGAGCCGCGAGAACCTTCATGACGAAGGACTTGGCCGGGGCCAGGACGTGTCCCATGCCCCTGTCTCGCAATTCTTTCTCGCGATACGGAATGTACCCGCTGACGAGCATGGCCTTCGCCTCGCCTTCCAGACCAGCCTCATTGACCATGCGGCAGAGATCTTCGTAAAACCCCTGGTAAGCCAAGCCGGCCTCCTCCTCAGCTTTGTCGAATTGAACGTCTTCTAGCAAGATGACGATGCGACGGGCGGAGCGATAAATGGCATCCATGACACCAATGTGGGCTGTCTTGTCCGCCGGGTCATCTTGGTTGATGCAAAGCTTGTCGATCCAGACGCCCTCGCCGGCCTCGCAAAGGTCCATTACGGCCTTCACCATCGGTTCTGAGACTTCCCAGCCTGAAAGGACTGGCGTTGCGGCCTTAGCCAGAGGCCACTGATGGTAGTGCCAGCAGTAGCTGATCGCGACATAGGACGGGATACCGCTGGCAGGTGATTGCGTATTGTTCTCCGCGGGACACACCATCCGAAACCTGAGGTCGGACAGGGCGTCCAGTTTGGGGTGGAACTGTTGCACGACTTCCCCATTAAGCTCCTTCAAACGAGCGAGGATGGTGGCTGCACGTGTTCGGCTTGCCTCGCTGTGAGTAAGCTGTGTGGCTTCTGAGAGCAGTGCGTCCTTGTTTGCGCCCGAGAGAGGCACCAGGCATTGGCCGAGGCCAGAAAGCACCGTGGAGGTTTTCCATTGGGCGTAAGAGTCTTGGGGACTAAGTATTGTCGCCATCGGTGGTTCAGTGCGCGATATCCGACACGGTATGGGCCGTGTCCTTCACAATTGCTGGGGTGTTGTGATGAAGATAACAAATTGTGCGGGCGGGGTCCACGGAGCTCAAGAAGCTGAGCAACATTGGGGCGGAGCGCAACGCTTTCCGACTCAGCACAGCCGCTAGCGTACCATGCATTGCAGTACGGATTATTGAAAGTGGGGTTGGTTGCGCAAGAACTGTGGCAGTGGCAGGTTGCGGAATGTCTCGAGTGCAACTTGTGTTTGTATTGTACATAGCTCTTCGGGGGTGCCGTCTCGGGCAGCATCCTAATCATTTTCCAGACCTGAAGTCTAACCCCATCTGTGCTATTAGCGCTGACCATTATTTCGTCCCTGCATCGAAACTTATTCGACGCTTGAAGAGTACTTGCTTCGTCGGATCGGGGATGCACTGTAAGTGGATTTAGCATGTGATCCCGGCACATGGTCTCCGGCGTATGGGGTGTAGCGTTGGCCCGAACGAGAGATTCGGGTACCTCTCCTGAACTCCTTCGGGCAACCTGATGTCGTAATTCAGGAACAGACTGGGCACAATCATCCTGATTTCATTGACAGCGAAGAAACGACCGGGGCAAGCACGCTGTCCAAAGCCGTATTGTGCGACTTGTCAGCCAAGCGATACCTCAACATCTCCCGAACAGATGTCAACCTTGACCGGACATGGAGGTGCACGTACTGTCATGATGTCCGTATTGCGGGAAACGGATTGGTGCCGGGTATTGGCCTCGACAGCGCCCGCGCCCGGGCCTCCTCCCGCAACCGGAAGAAGCGCCAGGGATCGAGCTTGTCAGGGTTCGGGAAGATGTCGGCGTCCCGGCTGATGGTTGCTGAAGAAACCTGGACGACCACGCCAGCCGGGATGACCTGGCCGTTGGACAAGGTGAACGTCTTGTTGACCTGACGCTGCATGGCGTCGAAGCCAAAGAGTTGCAGTCGCGTCGTCTCCTTGAGGAAGTTGTCGACCTTCTTCATGGCCTGCAGCGTCGAGTTGTTAAGGACGTCTTTATGCTCGGCCAGAACGGGCCGGATTTCGTCGCGAAGTTCGGGGAATGTTGCGGGTAGGCTGCGAAGTTGTAAGAACTGGGCATAGTTAGCATTGCGGTCGCAGGAGGAAGAAATGGCAGGCAGCGCGTACGCATTGGTCAAGGTGACACCCGTGGTGTGAACGGCCACGAAGATTAGACTATAACTTACCCAGTTGTATCCTTGCCAGTTCCTCGGTCGTGTAATGATTGAACCTGTCTTGTCCGTTCATGAGCCACTGCAGCATGTCGTCTGGCTTTTCGCTGCCCTCCATACGCCGGTGGGCGGCAACGACGGGGCGCAGCAACTCGTCTGCCAGCGCCAGGCGCTGTCTAGCTTCTCTACCTCAGGCGACCGCCAGCCCAGAAACGGGCGCAGGCAGGGGTGCACTGTGTCGAGAGCGCGAACGGCTTCCATCACCTCGACGGTGTAGTTGACGGCAGCGTCCAGGTACTCCCCGGAGCGGCTGAGCTCAGCACCAATGAAAATACGGCCGGGAACCTGGGCCACGATGCGGAGCGACGCGTGATTAATGTTGATAGGCGTCCAGTCGTTGCACGGTGGCAGTGCGTCACGAATCGACGCCTTGACCTCCTCGACGATGAGGGGGGTGAGACGAGCCAGGGCAGGCGTGAGGTTGGACTCAATCGTGTGAAGAATTATGGTCTAGCCGATCGCGGTCATGACTCCAATGTACTTGGCATGCAGTGTCTGTTCAAAGGGATTGTCGTAGCTGACAACATCTTCAAGGAGTTTTTGAAACTCGCCCAGGACCTTGGGCGGCACGACGATAACAATGAATTGTTGGTGATGAACAAGGTCAGCGGCTGTCTGCCAGAAGAGGAACGATCTGAACCATACTATTCGTGGTGACGCTCCTGAACACTCTGTCCTTGAACTGCCGAAGACTTTAGAATCCCTGTGGACATGACCGGAGTCGGCTCAACTGACCTTCTTTTACTCCCTCGAGGTACAAGTCAGCCGCTCGGAACAGATATGCCTACCTCCGCTTCTCGTCGCTGCCCAATCCTGGCCTGCGATGGGAAAACTTGCCTGGGAAAGGACCGCCAGCTGGGCGCTGACAGTCTCGTAAACCATTTGCAGGTTGGCCATGATGCGGTCTGGACCGAGTGTGTGGTATTCTGGTGCCTGATGTTGTGTAACTGTCTGGAGGCATTGGCTGGGCCTGATGCGACAGGCGGCACGGGATGAGAGCAAGTTATTCCCTGCTGTCTCGAGACAGGCAGTATACACTGTGGTGTATGTACTCCGCTATCGTCGAGGAATCATTCTCTTCGCCAAGATATTGTTCTGTCAGCAAGCCCGGTGGGGCCTTTGGACCTGGGACGATGGAAAGCGATCCCGTCTTGAATCCTTCCAATCGGCTTAAGCTCAGAGGCCGTGTTTGCCTGGGACATCAGATAACCCATGGATTCAGAACGCGGGTAGGTTCGACTCTCCAGGATTCAAGATGGCGAATGAATGGTAACCGAAGGGGAGTCCAGGCATCACCGCATCGCCGCATCGCTGCCGATTGCAAGCGGGGACCAAGTCGAGCCAAGTGCCGATCGGGGATTCGGGAACATCTTCGCGTCTTAGATGGGTTATTGTAGCAAAGCACGAGGCGGTGCAATTCTGATGATAATCTCCGTCTGCTGCTGTAATGGGAAGCCGGATCCGCGATGAGACCTAACACACGAGACCTGTGTTCCACTGCATCATGGCTGCTAGCAGTTCTGGTTTGATGGGCTCGCGACGTGGGCAGATTTGGGGCTGCAAAATGTGGGTTAGGGTTAACATTGCTCGAGCGTCGCACTGTTGCACATGTGAGTCAATCATGGAGACTGACCAACCACACCCAATCTCGAGCAGATCTATTATCGCATCACAGAATTCCGAGATGCGGTATCGTCTTTGATTGAGGTGGATTCTCAAAAAATCTGTTTTTTCCCTTTCACCGGCAGTGACAAACGGATGGCTTGCACTCAAAACAGCTTCCTGACGGCATTGCTGGCTTTCAGGCTTTGAGCTAGGGCCGGCTCCACCGAAGGGCCCCACAACTTCAAAGTCCTCGGACCGCTGACAAGTGAAACGTCTTTCGGGCTCCCATTCTCGCTTTCGCATTCATCCCACAAATCGCTGATGGAGTTTGCCACGAGCGCGCTCTGATGGCGCGCTTACGCCTGGGCTACACAAAGTCGCGCACCGGCTGCCTGAGATGCAAGCAGCGCAGAGTCAAGGTATGTCGGCCCGTTCTGCCCGTCCTCTACCAGAAATGCACCTCAAATTTGAGGGTTGTGCTTGGAATCCGTTGGCCTGTCGCCTGAGGTATCGAACATACCTCGGCCAGTGAAACTCGTGGCTGGTTGACACACACTTGACAGTGCGATGAAACAAAGCCGTCCTGCAAAGCCTGTGTCCGCCATGGCGTCGAATGCAGCCTTTCATTGTCAACTGACCCCAACAATGCCAACTCTCCGTCCCCCGCTAGCTCCGCTAATCATGCGGGCATCCCATCGCCGGGCCCGTCGCCGGGCCCACAGTCACACCTAGCACCGTCCCGAAGAAGCCGGCCCAGAAGCATCAACCCCAAGCCTAGCGATAACCCCCCATTCCAACCCCCTCCTTCCATTACCGTCCCACCGGGAGATCTCCATGGCCCGGAAGCCGAACCTTCCCCGCACGGGTCGGCCCTCACCATGACCGGTTCCCCACTAGCAACCACCCCAGATCCATTTCCGTACCTCGCCAAGTTTGTGACCGGCCCGCCGGAAGAGGACACGGCAGACTGGGTCTTTGACCTGGAGCTGCTCCACCACTTCACCACGTGCACGTATCCGACCTTCATGATCGACCGCTCGCGAACCGAGACGAACCGGATGTGGCAGATCGAGGTACCCAAGCAGGCCTTTGTCCACGTCTTCCTGCTGCATCAAATCCTGGCCATCGCATCGTACCACCTGGCCTATCTGCATCCCCAAAGTCGCCAAGCATACGCCCTCCGCGCCTCGCACCATCAAAACGCCGGCATCCGGCTCATGCGCGTCGCCCTGTCCGACATCTCGCCCGCCAACTGCCACGCTCTGTTCGTCTCTTCGTCGCTGCTCTTCATCGGGTCACTTGCCGCGTCGTCCTCAACCAAACCCTCCGCGGATGGTCCTACGGTGGACGATCTCGTGGATGTGCTGATGCTAGTCAAGGGTATGGGCAGCGTCCTGGACTCGTCAAAAGAGCTGCTGCGCTCAGGGCCGCTCTCGGAGCTCTTTGTCCTGCACGCCTGCCCAGACCAGCTCAATCCCGCCTTGGATCGAGTCGTCCTCGCCGTGGGCGACTTTTTGGTCGAGATTGCCGAGACAGAGCCCGATGCCCATGTGCGTGCCACCGTCCACGCCGACGCCTACCGCATGGTGACGGCCATCCGCGAGGCCCTTGGGAAGTCGGCAGGGCCGGAATATCACGTGGTCGCCGCCTGGCCGATCCATATGTCGGACGATCTGATACCGCTGCTGCGCCAGAGGAACCAGGCTGCCTTGGCCCTATTGTCGTACTACTGCGTCGTGTTCCACGCGGCGGAGCTGCAAGGGTATTGGTTCATGCGGGGCTGGGCACCGGGCGTGATCCGTGACATCTCGCGAACCATGGCTGGGCCGTGGAAGCGCCACTCGGCTTGGGCGCTGGGATGGATCACCGGGCATGCTGCCATAGGTTGATGTTGGTACCAGTACGGTTGCGTGACGGGACGCTCGCTCGGTTCCTACCTGTGCCTGGGATACACTGTCATCGGCATGTGCCGTCACACGCTCGCCCGACCCGGCCTCGGTCAACGTCCCAAGGAGCTGGCAACGGTGTCACCTTCAATTTGTGCAACTTCGGGAATGGATGATGTGGGCAATCTTCGTTTCACTGCTTTTCATTGCCTGCCCCAACGCCGGGCCCCACGAACTAAGAACGACCCTGTACCACCACACACGAGATCGAGACAGAACTTTCAATTCGCACCAACCTATCCCCATACAAAGAATCATCAACAATAACGACCAGACGACAAAATGCTCCTACTCCTACTTCCCCTCGGGAAACTTCCGAAACATGTCCATCAGCTTATCCAGGGGCGTCGCCAGGAGCCCCGCAGCCGTCTCGTACGGCGGGCGATCCGGCGCGGCCGGGTGGCTGCGCGTGGGCACAAAAAGCTTGGTGCGGTCGAAGCTACGGGCCAGCGCGCCCGACGCGTCGTCGTCGAGGGCCTTCTCCAGCGCCGGCAGGTCGTCGCGCTCCTCCTCCTTGATGTGCTGTGCCAGCGTCTCCCAGAGCGAGTCGATGGTCTGCTCGAAGGTCGGGGCCGAGGGGTTCATGGATTGGAATTCGTAGAGCTTCTCTTTGACCTGGACCAACGCCACATTTACCGTTTATTGATCAGAATCGAGGGAGCAAAGAGAGTTGGGGCAAAACGCGTACCTGCTGGTGCTCGGCGCGGTCCTTCTCGGCCAACCTCACCCCGTCGGGAATGTGCTTCTCAAAGGCAGGGTACACGACGATCTCCTCGGCGATGGAGTGCCGCGCCAGCTCCCAGACGAACTGGTTCTGCCATTGTATCTTTTCGTCGTCGCGCTGGGCCTTCTTGATGTTGGTGTAGTACTCCTCCAGCTCCCGGTGGTCGTGCTTGATGCGGTCCGACACTCGGGTGGCTGCGCTGGTTGGCATGGCGGCACCCGTGGGGTTGCTCTGCTGCCGGGTCTCGGTAGACTGGAAACGGAAGCCCGATGCAAACGCCGGGCGTGCGAGGGTCCTGGCAAAGATGTGCCTGAGTGGTTGGGCAGCGATGGGAGATGATTGGAGACGATACATTGGGACTGGATGCTGTGGGGTTGCTCAAGTCGGGAGGAGTTGAGTTCTAGAGAGGCAGTGATCACAAAGGACGGGGTGGTCTGGTATTGGACGTTGGTGGAAGGGCACAACAAAGTTTCAATCTCACTTTGAGGGGGTGTATTTGTACTACCTGCTCTCAGGGAACGATTACGACAGCATGATGGGTTTCAATGGGCCGCCTTGGATCGGGTGTATTGTGCCGCACACAAAGGCCAGGTCCGATGGAAGATGTATACCTCGCGTCATGGTTTTGGAAATCGAGGGCCTATGAGTGGTTGCTTTGGGATTGAGTACGAGCCGACTCCATCTACACGTGTACAGATTCACGACCTTCCGGCGGGGTCTGGGGAAGTAGTTGATGATGTCATGGGACGGCGCGGGATGTGTTCCCCTGAGTTTGACTTCATACTAACCTTCTTCTTGGCACGCGACAATGGCCGTTTGGAGGGATCGGAGTGGCAGCCCGAGTCCGGCATCCACACCTTCAAGGCGCTTCAAGGTTTTCTCGGATCTAAAAATTGCTTTGTTTTGGAGAGTCGAACAATGCAGTAGGCCAGAATTGCTTACTATCGACTTAGCAGATTGAGCTCCGCAGCGTCTTGGCTGCAGATTTTCAGGCCAAACAGCACAACCACAGACGAGGTCACATTGTGGAAGGACAAGCCATGGCAATATGTACACTGCATCTTATTTACAGCTGATACCGAAAAGGGCACCTCGAATATCTACAGCAGAAAGATCAACAACACCTTGAGTATCTTGGTACTCCTCGGCAAACCCAGAGCACATCACCCCCACAGCAGCACCATCCACCCGCTCTGCACTGCACTACCCTCCGGAACCCGAGTTCCCGCAAGCCGGTTAGGAAATTTTACAGGCACTGCGAGTACCACTCGTGCTGCACCTGGCACGTCCAGGGGCTCTGGCACTTAGTCGGGCCCGTCCAGTAACGGCCCCCACACTGTCCCCAGCGAGTCTGCTCGGCGCCGCTGGCGGAGGAGGTAGACGAGGGCGCGGCCGAGGTGGTCCTGGTGGAGGTAACCGTCGACGACGGGACGCGGGTGGTGGTGATGGTGGTCAGAGTGGATGTGGACGTAGACGTCGACGTCGATGTGGACGAGACGGGCGGCACGCCGGTGGCCTTGGCGGCCAGGACGGACGAGATGGAGGTCCAGGCGGCCTTCTTGTTGAAATTCTTGTCGTAGATGAGGGCGTCGCCCTGGCCGGGGAAAGTCTCGGGGATCCACGAGTACTTGTCCGTGAAAGACCAGACGGTGACGCCGACACAGCCAGCCACGTCAAGGCACGAGCCGACGACGTTGGCGAAGTCGTTGGCTTGTGTGACCTGCGCCGATGACGAGGCCGGCAGGGACGAGTGCCGGATGTCGAGCTCCGTGTAGGCGACCTCGACGCCGAGCGCCGTAAAGCGTCGGAGGGTCGTCGCCAGGTTGCTGCGGCTCGGGGTGCTGCCGACGATGAGATGGCCCTGGAAACCGACGCCGTCGATGGGCGCGCCCGCGGCCTGGACCAGCTTGACGAGCTCGACGGTCCGGTCCGTCTTGGCGCCGTTGTACTCGAGGTTGTAGTCGTTGTAGTACCTGGCGGCCTGTCAGAACTGGGAAGCAGAGCAAAGGACGTCGCCATTCTTACAGCTTGGTATTGGGGTCGGCCTTCTTGGCCAGGTTGAAGGAGAGGGGAATGTAGTCGGTGCCGAAGGTGCTGAGGAAGACGTTGGGGCGCCAGTTGCCGTCATCGCCAACGGCCTCGTTCACCACGTCCCAGGCATAGCACTGGCCAATGTAGTGGCCCATGACGTTGTTGATGTGCGTCTCCATGACCTCGGTGAGCGTGGCCTTGGTCCACGAGCCATCACGAACCTGGTTTGAACACACAGTCAATGCTCGGTTATCTACAATCGACGACAAGAGGACTCAGGGCACAGGATGACGAACCCAGCTGGGCAGCTGCGAGTACCAGACCAGCGTGTGGCACCTCACGCCCTGGCCGTTCTTCTTGGCCGTGTTGGTCGTGATGTCGCCCTGGGTGTAGGTGAACTGGCCCCGGGTCGGCTCGGTGCTCTCCCACTTCTGGCCATTCTCTGGCACGAGCTGGCCGAACTCCCTCTTGTCGCCGAGGATGGCAGCGTACTGGGCATCGCTGTTGATGGCGCCTTCGCGGAGGGCGGTACCGAAGTACTTGAGACCGGCACGGACGGCGAGGTCGTTTAGCTGGGCCGAGACGGCGGCTGGCGCCAGAAGCGCCGCCAGGACAGACTTGGAGTGCATCGTGTTTGACCTGGAGGGTGGATGACACCGACGAGGGAGGGGCTGCGAGTGTGACGGCGGTGGGCAGGAACCGGGTTATCTGGTCGAGGCAGGGTAGGAGCCCTTTTGTATTTCAGAGGATGGCCCAGATACCCCTGATCGGGGTCCTGGATCGCCGGCTCGTCATCCCCACGGGGAGACTTGTCGTTGGCGCAGTGGATTCACCCAGCCGACGTGCTCGAGGCGGCGGCTTGCGTTTCCATGGAAGCTTCGATGCCGTGGAGGACGGTTGCATCGGGGCATGGAGCCCATCGTTGCCAAGCCAGCTGTGGGGGATTTGGGGGTCCTTGGTGGATATCGACTGGCACCCAGGCGGCGACTCGACCCGGTTTTGCTCGGAGCAACTTCCGTGTAAGTTCGGATTCGGAAGCCAAGACGCCGCCAAAGCCTCAAGATTTCCACGAACCCGGGCGTTGCAGAACCCACCCGCACCGTTGCCGCCCGCTAGCGAGCCCCTTAATCCCGGCAAGGCCAGCTGTTCTGGACTGCTTGAATCTTCTTGCACTTCGCTCGCCACGTGCTATTTAGCCTGAAGCTGCCGGGCTACTACCTTGTTCCTCCCTTGGCATCGGAGAGTTCCTCTGCATTGCCGTCGACAAATGCAGAGCTCATAGGTGTGTACCTTGAGGTTCCTGTTTGCGTCTTGCACTCGTCGCAGCAGACTCGATATTAACGTTACAATGTTTGATACCGGGCAACGCGGCGCGAGGACTCGACAGTCGAAAGAACTCGACGATGCGGTCAGACTCTCAACTACACCAAAGCTGGCCCTGCCTGCCTGTATACATCAGATGCTTGGAGGAGAGACTCTGATAGCGACTTAAATAGTCGAACAAAGAGAAGGGAGAAGAAGGAGCAGGTCAGGGTGTGTTAAAGACTTGGCGGCCCTTATGCAAGAAGGACTGGACGCCATGCTGTGCCAGTGTAACAGCGAATCTAATTCAACGTCGGCCCTCGGATTCCCAAGCTTAACTGCTCAACCCTTGTTCCAGTCCTCCTTGATATGAATCATGAGCTGAGGCTCCGTGAGAGACTAACAAGACGGACTTACCAATTATTGTCCTCATTCGAAAACCGATCTCAGCGCCGCCATTACCTTGATATTCCCAGCACAAGTGTTCTTCTCACAGTTGTGGCACCCTTCCGACATCAACTCTACCGGCCTCTTAAACCCGCAGCTTCTTGCCTTTATGAGAGCACGAGTGCCCGTGGCTAGCCTCCTCGGCCATGGCCGCCCACTTCGCAAAACTCTCTGCGACTCCACGACGAGTGCGGAGGTTGAGACTTGTCTTCTGGCGGGGCGGTACGCCCTCGAGCGAGTGGGCCATCCTCACAAGGGCCCGAGCGGCGGCTTTGGCATTGACTGTCAGAGCTTCCCAGTGGATGTTGTCCAGATCGTCGCAGGCTTGGTGATAGCAGGCGTCCCAGGGTGCTCCGGCGCCCGTGTGCAGCGCGATGGTAGGGACGCCGATGTTGACGAAGCCGACGTAGTCGGAGCCGGTGTCGAAGCCGCTGGAGCGAGTGAACCGTCAGCACAGGAGCATTGGGGGACAATGGTCTGGGGACAAGGCTAGAACTCACCCATGTCGTACTTGCACGCCCTGCGAGACAAGATATTCCTCAAACAGCTCTGGCCCGATGCCGCTGTTGTTGTTGCTCGCAATGCTGAAATCAGGCTGGGGCGAGCCAATCATGTCGTAATTGAAATAGTACTTGATCTTGTCGGCCTCAGCCTCGGAGAGGTGCGACGTGTAGTACAGCGAGCCCACCAGGCCGCTCTCCTCGGCTCCCCACCAGGCGAATCGGATCTTGTGCGGGAAGCCGTCGTACCTCCTGAGTGCGGTCATGATCTCCAGCAGAGCAGCCACGCCGCTGCCGTCGTCGTTGATGCCTGCGCCCTTTTGCACGCTGTCGAGGTGTGCGCCCAGCATGACGACCTTGTTGGGGTCGCCTTGTTTTGTCTCGGAAATGATGTTCCACGTCTCGCGCGTCTCGGATATGGAGTCAACGAGCAGTGTAACAACCACGTCCGCCCTCGATGCCAGGCGGGCTCTCCAGTTTTCTCCCACCTCGAGCGGGATGATTCCAACGGGAACGGTTTGACCGATCGTCTCTGCACCGAGTGTCGGGACGGCAATGCTTGTTCCGGGCTCCTGGTTGTACAATATAACCCCTGAATTCCCTCAATAATCAGCATTAAGTATCTCTTAATGGCAAGCATCCAGCAGCAACTCACCCAAGGCACCATGCTCCTTGGCCAACTTCAACTTATCCGCGACGGCGCAAACCCCCCTCTTAATCAGCGCCAACTTCCCCGTCGCATCCACCCCATCCCACTGCTCAGCAAAGCACCCGGACCCTCTCTCATCATCAACCGGTGTATCGACCAAGCCCGCCGTAATCCCGCCAGGCAACGGCGTGGCAGGGTTGTACATGGGGCTGATGACGAACACATCCTCGCCCGCCGGCCCCGTCACGTTGATCCGCAGTGTCTTGTCATAGGTGTGGTTGAAGGGCTGGACGAACGTGTCGAACCGGTCGCCGAAGCGCTTCTGGGCGCGCTCGAGCACAAAGTCGAGCGAGGCTCTGAACCCCGGCTCGCCGAAAGCGCGGTTACCTCCGTTGTCGCGGGCGATCTTGTTGAGGTTCCAGAGCACGTTTTGGAGTCTGGTCGCAAAAGTCAGATGCGGGATTACATGGGAGTTGGTAGGATGATTCTGACTTACTCTTCGGTTCTAATGTCGGCTTCGAACTTGTCTGCTGTCAAAATGTTGTTGGTTGCGACGGCGGTTGACGAGAGGCGGAGGGCCGCAAGCGTGATGCGTGTGAGCTTCATTATTGTTGTTATTTACAGCTCCCAATTGATTTCAATACCTTGTACACTCACTGACTGGTTAATGTAGCCGGTCAATGGGAATGACTTCAGTCCGCTGCCCCTCACTGTCGTGGCGAGTGGCGCGGGCTTTTATAACGGAGAGCCGAAGGCGGCAACAAGCATATCCCCAACTGCCCTTGTGTCGGCTCCTCTTGTCTTCATTAGGAAGTTACTGATAAGAATACTCAATGCTGATGCAGAGGAGCTGTTGCAGCCGGCATTGGCAATTAAAGTGCCAAGCTGTCGTGTTGCAAACATGTTCCGGATATGGCAGGTGACAGAGGTACATGCGGCGATGCCAGCTTCACTTTCCAGACTGACTTTTGCACGCCGATTTTCGATGCGAATCACACATAGACAAGAATCTTCACACAGACAAGGATCACCGCCCTTGATGTCGAACAAAAGTTGATTAACGAAATGAAGAATATTATGAATGGTGATGTGCAAGCTGAGCTAAGTCCCATTGACACGAGACTTCGCACTACAGTAAGACTGTCACACATGGCCAGTCAGGGTCCTCATTCTCAAGCTGGCATGATCGTGATCACAGCAACGGGTTCGACTTTTCCTAATTGGGCAGTTCAACTGCCAGGCAGTTTGCCGACCTCGGCCCCACTCCCATTCCGATTCACGGCCCGACTCCGGCCGACAACCACCGAAATGCCGACGTCAGAACAATTTGGGCCGGATCACATCACAGTAGCTGGCAAACGTCCACCGATATATCCACCAGTCCAAAGACGCTTAACTATCGACGTATTAACTAAATCTGCTTCAATAGGCATAGCAGCAATCTCTGGTTTAAGTTAAGTGGTAATTGCTGTTTCCAGGGAATTCCTCGCCCTAATGCGTAGCAATCGCCGTCAATTGACCGGCAAGGCAGCCTAAGTCCGAGTACGTAGTTTAGCAATTGCAGCTCTGAGACTTAATCCACAGCCATTCCACCCGAAGGTGAGAAAGTCCTGTCTGAATCTAACTATCGTCTAGAGTACTAAATGGCGAGGTCCATGCACATTGTAGAGGCTCGGACCTGAGATATAGGAACACCGATTACTTTCATGGGACATCGGGAAAATGTGCCTTTGCTTCAATGGCACTTGCAAGGCATAATATCAGAACTTCTATTTAGAGTTGAGAAAGGAAGGACAATGAGGGTTCTTTGGAGAAGGCGGGCCTGGGGGGATCTATTCTCCAGCGCTGCTCAAAGATCAGATTATAGATCAGATTTATCAGTCCAGATTAGTCCAGTCGATTCAGATCGGCCATTTCTTCAGATCAGTCAGATCA